CTTCCGGCTCCCCGCGGCCCCGCGCTTCCGGCTCCCCGCGGCCCCGCGCTTCCGGCTCCCCGCGGCCCCGCGCTTCCGGCTCCCCGCGGCCCCGCCTCCGCGGGGCGGGCCTGGCGCGGGGTTCCGGGCCGGCCGTGGGGTTCCGGGTCGGCCGGGAGCGGGGCCGCTGCTGCCGGGGCCGGGAGCGACTCCGAGACGCCGCCGCCATGAACCGCTTCTTCGGCAAGGCGAAGCCGAAGGAGCCCCCGCCCAGCCTCACCGACTGCATCGGGAAGGTGAGTGCCCGTCCCGGGCGGCCGCGCCCGCTGAGCGCTGCGCGGCCCGGCCGCCGCGGCGGGAGCGCCTCAGTGCCCCAGGGACCGCAGCGGCGCATAGGGGTGTGTGTGTGTTTATGTTTATGTGTGTGTGTGTTTATGTGTTTATGTTTATGTGTGTGTGTGGGGACACTGCCGTGCGTGTGTCCGTGTGTGGGTATATGTACATCGCAGAACCACGGGATGGCTTGGGTTGGAGGGGATCTTAAAGACCACCTAGCTCCAACCCTAGCTCCTGCCAGGGGCGGGACACCTTCCCTGGAGCAGGTTACTCAGAGCGCACCCGGCCGGTCCCCGAGCGCTGCCATGTGTCATACACGGTGTGTTTTGGTCAGCGTGTCTGGGTGTCCGCACACGGACACGGGGACGGATGTACCTTTGTATGTCCATTCGCCCACGCCTGCGTTTGTGTCCTGTGCCTGGAGCACATCTCATACATGGGGGCGCACAGTGAGCGTGGAAGGCATGGCTCACCTTATATCCTCATGGATGTTCTCAGCATTTCCATCTGAGGACTTCTCCACTAGCCAACTCCTGCCGTGGCACGTTGTAGCAGGGCAGGAGCAAGAAGCTCAGTCTCCCTGTCCAGTGCAGAAGAGTGTTCTGTCTCTTGGGGGGTGAGTAAGGTTGCTGTAGGGTCGATGCCAAAGGTGTGTGCAGATGGACAGATAAGCTCAGACCAAGTAAGAAATGCTCAGAAAACACATGGCAAAGCACTTTACAACTGTTGTTGTGTTGGCCTGCCTGCAAAGAGGGTTAAGAAAACATGTTCAGATTAACTGTAATTTCATAGTCTTTTTTTGACTTTAAAGCTTGTTAAGAAAACTGTAGCACTGTTTTGCGGCTCCTTTTGTTGTAAGCTAATTTTAAGACATGAAGGAAGGAAATGGAGTTTCTTGAGTATATCTGTCAATAAACAAAGGTCAGTAGTAGTTGTGGTATAAATGTAGGTTAACTAAGCTTTGTCATTGGAACCTGACAACAAACAGCTTCCATGGAAAAATCACAGTTTTCCTCACAGAAGATTTATTTTGCTGCCCAGTGGAGAGACTCTTTAAATGAAACACCTAATATTTGTCAGTGCTACCTATCAGTCTCTTGTGTATGCCACTTGGCTGTTATGGGGAGAGAGAAGTGCTCATAGTGTTTGTCCTGGTACTTTATCTTGCTGACAAAAATCTGTATTGCTTTAAATACTATTAAGCCCAAACATAACTCTAAATATACTTTGTTAGAACAGTGAATAAAGCATCTGATTGAAAATCAGGATTAATTTTCCCATTGTTGTCAGTAAACAACAGTAAATTTGGTGGATGACTTGAACTCCACAATCCATCTGAAATACTAAGTGCTTAAATTTGCTATTTTGGCAATATAAGTGGAAGAGCAGGAAGCCCTGTTTCCCTCACAACAACTGACTCCTTATTAGTCTGTTAGATTTTTCATGCTGCTTTTGCCAGTTCCAAGTTTATGTCCATTTTCTAATGGTGGGCTAAATCAACAGAAAATTTGTATAGGTGAGCAGTCTGTCTTCTGCTAAGAGCTTGTTCAATCCTAGAGGAGTTTTGGGGTACATAAAAGTGTAGTTTAAACAGATGTTTTGATTGGCAACACCAGGAATTTAGGAGGTTTTTTTTTTCCCCTCAAAAAATCCTGCTGAACACAGTTTTGATCCTGTTCTAGATGTTTGTAATTGCACTGTCTGAAAGTTTGACAATGCAAAACAGCAGATTAACCAAAAAGAAGAATTCTATGTTTATTTTATGAATGTGATGACTTTGGCAACCAATGATGAGTTGCAGGGTGGTTACTAGTAACCACAGGGAGAAACACTTTGTTTTAGTAGTTTGAAGTTTATGAGTTAACTTTTTGTGGCAAGGTATGTGTAGTTATCTGTCTGATTTGTGGAAGACTTTTCACAACAGTGGAGTTTCTAGGATATGTCTTGCTGAAACTACAGACATGATTAGATTGTTTATTTTAAATTACACTTGAATTATTATTGAAGATAGTTGTGTGAGGTATTAAAAAACTTCTATTATTTCTTTACAATGTTAAATTCAGCAGTTTGGAAGCTCAGCTGCTATTGCTTCTGGGGTGTTTTCTGTCTTAGACACATTTTGCTCTACCTTTTGTAAGAGCCAAATTGCTTTGCAAGATCTCTTAACCATGCTAGTTCAGCGGTAAGTAGTAATTAGGGCAGTTTGGAAATCTATTAGGTGAGCAGTGATTAATACAGCATTTGTTAAAAACATAGACAACTCTTAGGCAGTAATCATGCCTATGTTTTGGATGTTCTTTCCTGTGTAGACAAGTTTAGTTATCTAAAATTCATTGCATATAAAGGCAGGGGTTTTTATGCTTGCTGGCAGAGTCAGTGAGTGACTCAAAGCTGTCACAAGGCCTGTAGGAGGAAGGGTGCTCCAGGAAGTGAAGCATTAATAGTGTTTTTAAATTTTATTATTTGAAAAAACACTCTAAGTTTGTGGGTTTTTTTTCAGAGTAGTAAATAGGAAACATAGGAACAAAAGGCTAATAGTTGTGACCACAGTGTAAAACCTCAAATTCCCTTTCTTTTTTGTAAATTGGGGCCCTTCTGTAGCAATGAAATGTTCCTCAGTGTGCCTTATTTGTGAGTAAGAGACAAACTCTTCAAGTCCTAATGTGCAGTCTATTTTTTTGGATAAATTAGATCCATTCTCTCTTCTTCTATCCAGTCTCATTTTAAAAGCTGAGGTCCTCTGTCATGTGTGTGTGAAATTTTTACATAATCAATGTGGGGGGTTCTGTCTCTGTTTCCTGCTAATACTGATTGAAAGAACCATTATATAAATAAATAAATTTTTTCCCTGTGGAGGCTGATATGAAAGATGCAGTGAGCTGATAAAGATCTTGAAGAGTCCTAAAATCACATTTTTTTTTCTTTCTTGCTATTAGTAAACTATTTGGATAATAGAAAGCTTAATACAAATTTTTCAATGCTGGCTGTGCCCAGGCACTTTAATGTCTTGTATGGAACGTTCATATCAGATGTTCCACTGAGGATGCCTGTAGCAAATGCATTTTTGCTGTCATAAAGCAGGGTTTTAAAAGGGTCACTGAAATCAAAATCAACATAGTTGTACATGCTTAGCCACACCATTAGCGAGACAGAATTGTAAATTTGCACTGATATGTCTTATGCTATAATTGGAATGTCATTATAATCTAATCCCTAGGGAGGCTTCTTGGAATGAGAAGTTAATAAGCTTTCTTTTGTTGTTTCCAGAGAAATGCTAGCGTAGTCAGTTCATTTTAAAAAGGCCTTTTATGAATTTGTGTATGCTAATTGAATCCATGCTTAGTTATGTAACTGTCATATTTAACCCTCTTATGGTGAGGGTTTAAAGTATATCCCAAATGAGAGCTCTGTGGAATGCCAGCAGGGTACACCTAGAAGTTCTCCATTCCACTTTAGTGCCTGGCAATGTGTATGACCAGAAGTTCTGGAATGGAGAACTGCCTTGAGTGGGTTTGCAAGGGAGCATCTTAAAATTATGAGAGCGTGTTACAATGGCAGAGCTTCCTGCACCCTCAGAGTGTTGTTTCTTGAGCTCCTTGTAGAAATTATTTCACTTGATTCTGGTTCTGGATTCTCACAAAATCTAAATTGTTTATAAAACCAGTGAGCGAAGAAACAATTCAGTTAGAAACACAACACAACAGAGGCTGTTCTTTTTTTTGTCCCATACCTGAATAAAACCTCAATGAATGTTGTTTTCTTTGTTTTCCCCCTCATTATTAAAGGTGGATAGCAGAGCTGAGTCAATTGACAAGAAAATTGCTAGGCTTGATGCAGAACTAGTGAAGTATAAGGATCAAATGAAGAAAATGAGAGAGGGACCTGCAAAGGTAAGAATCTTTTGTGGAATTTGAGCATGAGAGGATGTGACTCACATTTCTTGTCATGTGATTTAGCTAGTTCATCAGGTTCTTAAAACTGCATCTTGCCCTACACATGAGAGATAAGATCCTGCAGGATTATTTTTATTAGATGTACATCTTTGAACAGTGTTTTGTTCATTTTTATTTGTTTCAGAGTGTAATGTAATTCCTCTGTGAGAAGTAACTTATTTCCCTTCTTCCTCATTACCTGAATTAAGTCTGGCAGAGAGGCTGTTTTGTTTCTCATCCAAAATAAAAAGCTCCACACTATGCCTAAAGAGGTAGCAGGACAACCTGTTTTTCAAGGGGATAAACTTAAAATATAGAATGTATCTGAAAATAAACATATATGATATAAACAGTATTGTTCAAGTACCTGTTGCAGTATTATTTTATGCTGACCATTAAAATGTGGTAATGAAAGATAACTCTGATGGACTAAATTTGATGTTTTATTTTCCTTACTGAAAACATGTATCAATAGCTAGAAATGGAAAGTGTTTTCTGTGAGAAGCTTTGTGTACTCTTCTGTTTGGTTCATCATTAATGCAGGCCAAATGCTGAATGTAACTATTGTTGAACTCTTGGCACTACTAACTGAGGAATCTTGGAAAACTTAAATCTAATGCATTAGGTTTAAACAGCATCATCAACTGTAAAGTCAGATAATTTATCTAATGTAACACTATTGTTTCTTTCAGAATACAGTAAAGCAGAAAGCATTAAGAGTGTTAAAGCAGAAGCGAATGTAAGTTGAGACCTTTCTCAGTTTGTGGTTAATAAAAGGTTGTTTTCTTTAATGGGCGGTGGCACATTTTTATTTGTCTTTCTAGTACTCTCCTGAGCACTCTTTAAAGCAAAATGCTGAAGAACCCTTTCAGAAGTATCTCCTTACATATTTTGCACCAGCATATTTATGATTTATATGCCAGTATTTAAAGTTGGATTGGTACAAGATGACCTGCATCTGCTCATTATTACAAATACGTTTGGCTCCTAAACTTTCTGAGAGATTGCCTCATTTTATATTACTAATTGATTGCTGTAAATTTTGTATTTGATGACCTTGCTCTGGTATACTGGAAATTTACCTGTTCTCAAAGGTTTACCACCTTTGAGGACTTGAGTGGATGTGGTGCAGGGAATTATGTCTATGCAGAAACCACCAAATAGACAGGATAGATGATCCTGTGGTCTGGTCTTATCTAGTGTACTGTCATGAAAGTATCCAGCAACAGATCCAATCAGAACATGGCAAATGTTCAGGAATGTTTCATTGGAATATCTCATAGTCCATGAACTGGAAATCTTAGAAGCTATTTGAGCCAAAGCTCCCATCATCTTTCATTTCATGTCCCTCAGATGAATTTTACCTTTATGGACTCACTCAATTACTTAAGTGTGACTTGATACACTGTGATACATGACAACAGTTAAGTATTAGTAAACTTTTACAATGCAAAATATCACATGGCAAGGAATGTGGTACTTGAGTTAGATACTGTGACAAGGACTGCTTGATTCTGGCTTTAGGGTTTTTTTTCCCCTGGTTTTTGACTATGCTGCCTGCTAATCTTCCTTGGTGGGATTACTGGGCCCCTCCTAATAGGCTACTGTCATATCCCTCAGTCATTTCTTTCTGATCTTGTGGAACAGTAATAGATGCAGTCATTAGTTGTCCAGAAGGTTTTGCATGTGGATCCTCCTTGTCTTTCAGACCTCCTGCTTTTCATGTTAGAGGGATTCATGGTTCATTTTTATGCTTTCATTCTTTTGCTTAACTTGACATGGTTTACATTCTTGATTTGATACAAGTTTAGCTTTAAGAAATATTATTTTTTAATTTTGAAAGTCTCTCTTTTCTCTGTGGTTAATCTTAAAGGTTTCTTTTTGGTACCCTATCCTCCTCTTCCCTGCCCTGAAAAACTCCAGTGTGGAGCCACTGTGGTTTGGATCATCTGCCAATTCTTCCATTCTCTTTACAGCATTAGTGAGCATGGCATGTATGTCTGCCTAATGGTGATTAAACTTTTGCTGTATCCTCACCTACTTTGTCAGTCTAGGCAAATATAGTGTTGCTGTCAGTTAAAACAAAGCTTAGTTCAGGAATAGCTTTGTTGGCTTCAAGTGCACAGAAATGCATAATGGCTGGATTTTTATGAAACTGTTTATTCTTCAGTTGTGTATAATTAGTGAAAAAAAAAGCAACAAATCTGTTCCTATCTTTAGACTACTGCTGCTGGTTTTTCAACTCTTAATAAATTAAGAATGTTTGTGGTAATAAAGAGTGTGGTGTTTTAAAGTCAATATTTGCCTTTTTTTTAAACAGGTATGAACAACAGAGGGATAATCTGTCGCAGCAGTCTTTTAATATGGAACAAGCTAATTACACTATTCAGGCACTGAAGGATACAAAGACAACGGTACCAGTTTGTTTATCTCGTGCTTGTTTAATTTGTTTAATCTTCGCTACATCAGAAACAAGCATGATGTTTGACTCTTCTAGGTGGATGCAATGAAACTAGGGGTGAAAGAAATGAAGAAAGCTTACAAGCAAGTCAAGATTGATCAAATTGAGGTGAGCTTTTATCGTTTAAATAAATAAAGAACAAAAATAATGTACTGAAATAACGGTGAATGGACTATAAACTTCAAGGCAAGATGACTGTTTTTGTTCATGTGAGTTTGTCTGCTTTTTTTATGGGACCACCATCATAATTCCTTCCTGATTTTTCTGGTACTGCACAAACAGTGGCTTGCCTTATTATAGTGATTATTGTTTCTTTGCTGAGCTAATCTTTAATCTCTCCTCTTCTTTCCTTGCACTTCATCATAAATGTTAGGGATACTTCCTGCTGTGGCTTTTTTGTCCTTTTTTGTTTCCCTATACTAGTAACATGCAGATTAGTCCTTTACCCTCCCAGTTCAAGGTAGTGCCTGATGAAAAAGAATAAAACCTAAAACGGAAAAAAAAAAAACCAAAAAAAACAAACAAAAAAAACCCCAAAAAAATCAAACAACCTGCCCCAGACAACAGCAATAAACAACAACACAAACAAACAAAAAACCCAAACCCCTAACTAAAAATCAGCAAGGGCTGACCCTGTCTTCAGTAAATGCATAAAAAATATCCCATGAGATCTCTAAATATAATTTGAAGTATGCTGTACTTAAGCTCTTACCCAGTGCCAGTGCTGAATTCCTTTAAGTTCTCATTCCTATTCTGTCTTTTATAAATGGCCTGCATTGTAAACCTTTAGGCAAGTATTGTTTCCTTACCTGTATTCAAGTACAGTGCCAGTAAATATGCTAATGTATCTTCTAAATTCTGCTGTGGCACAACTCAGGTTAGTGCTTATTTTCCAGGTGGTAAATTTGTCTAAATTTCATACCTTTTCTGCTTTTCAAGTACTCCTGTCCTGAATATGTGTGCATTGACTTGTATTAATAGTGCTTCAAAAAAAATGGTTTATTGAAAGAAAATTAAAATAACTGAGTGCTTTGTATGTTAGAATTACTAAACTGAATTTGAGTAAATATGGATCAATTGAAAATTATTCTTGCTTCAGGACATACAAGATCAATTGGAAGATATGATGGAAGAAGCCAATGAAGTCCAGGAGGCGCTGAGTCGTAGCTATGGAACACCAGACATTGATGAAGATGATTTGGAAGCAGGTGAGGAAGGGGAAAGATGATTTTTTAATATTACTGAATATAAAAATCATCATACTGTTATACAGTGATTTTTTAATTTCCTTGGTCAAATGCTTTAAATGTGTTTTAAAAAGCTTTGATAGCTTTTTTAAAACATGAAAGCTGCATTTCCTTTAAGAGAAGTAACAAGAGCATAGACAAACATGAGATTCCAATGGAATGCTACAAGGTTAACAAGGTTAACCTCCAGTGTGTGTGTGTATTTCTGACTTATGACTGAGACAAAGTGAGTCTGAATGTAAGCATTCAGTAAGAATCATGAGTTTCTCTAAGAGTCACTTTTCTCTTGCAAAAAAGGAACTTCTTGCATAATGTTTCAATCACCATAATTCAATTTCAGAACTGGATGCGTTAGGTGATGAGCTTTTAGCTGATGAAGACAATTCCTACTTAGATGAAGCCGCATCCGCTCCAGCAATCCCAGAGGTCACTCCTACAGACACAAAAAACAAAGTGAGTCAGTGAGTCCTTTGCTCTTTAACAGCAGAATACATTTTTGCTTGGTTTGAGTTAATCACATTTGTGTTGGTTGCTTGATATTTAGTTTCCTTAATACTTCGAACAAAAAAGTGTGCTTAATGTTATGTATGCTATTTATGTATTATATGTATGAATCCTACATACAGAGAATTTGAGAATACAGTGTACTGGGTGCTCTTAACTATGTTTAAAATCACTAGAATGACATTTTATCACCCCTATTGAACAGTGTCAGACTGCCAGTAGAATTTAAGTGTACCATTACAGCTCTAGTCTTAAAATCATAAGAAAAGCTTCTGTATGTTTGCTTTTGGGGCTTTAATAGAGTTTCATAATGAGGAAGAACTGATGCACTTGTTTTGATTCCAGCTGTCACACAGTGGCAATTGCAGATAGACACTTTATAGAAGTAGTAAGGAAGCTTCTGTGAAATGTTCTGGCTTTTGGGAGAGTTGTTAACCCGTTACTTCTTTTTCTTTCTTACAGGATGGTGTATTGGTGGATGAATTTGGGTTGCCAAAGATCCCTGCAACATAAATGTTTCAAAAGCACAATGCGTACAATGGAACTATACTTTTCAAATTGTATTAAGAATCTTTTTTATTTTAAAATTCTGGAGAACTTGTCTTTCCAGTGTAACCTTAATATCACTACATCCTAGAATGCAATATGAGTGGCTGGTGGTGTTCTTTCTTTGGAGAAAGTTGTTTTACTACTGATTTCTGTTAATGGAAAATTCATCCCAGGTCCTTCAGTGGAAGCAGTCAGTCTGATAGGTTTTGATTTCTGTGTCTTATGGACAAAGTAATATGTAATACTAGTGGTGGTTGTCAATAGCTGAGGTTTATTTTGACTTTGTATTATGTTTCTCTTTCTTGAAACTAAGACTATACGTTGCTGCTTACTCTCTGTAAAATAGGTCCCTTATTACTACGCCTGTTTGATAAAAGAAATGAAAGCAATTTTTAAACTACTGCAGTCCTGAGACTTTTATGCGGTTGTACTTGTAACCTTCTTGAAAACTGCTCGGGTTATCTTTAACTTTATGTATTCCATGGAGCCATAAAATCACGTAGATTAGCAGATCCCTTTGTGTGGCGTTTTTGGCGATGAAGTCGGGCCGGAGAACGGGTCAGCGGGCGAGTTATCGGCGTCAGGCGCACAGGGTCCGCCGGAGGCGGAGCCTGGCTTGGGACGGGCAAGGGTAGGTCCCGTTCCCGCGGGAGCCGCTCGGGAACGCGGCATTCCCGGTTTGCAGCTGCGGAAGTGACGCGCTCCGGGCGCGCCCGGCAGCGCCGCCGACGGTTCCTGCGGCGGGGCGAGATGGCGGCGCCCGGAGCGCCGGTGACCGTCACCATCACTTACAGTAAGCGGCGGGGGCGCATCCCGGCCTTTCCCCACCCCTGTGCCCGCCGTGCCCGCCCGGCCCGGCGGCGGGGCGGCCTCGGCGGGCACGGCCCGGCCCGCGCAGCCCGGGCTCCGTCCGGCTGCGGCCGTGACGCTTCGCTGCCCGCCGGCCCGGCCTGCCAGCGGCTCCTCCGGCTGCGCCGCAGGCGCCGGCGTGCGCACGGGTCTAGTGGGACGGGGGACACGGCCGCCTTTGCCAGCGGGCGAGCGCAGAGATCGGCGGGGGCGGCGAGGAGCTCGGGGGACTGGGGCATCTCTGAAAAGGGAGAGTGGGGGAGCTGGGCCTGTTCTGCCTGCAGGAGAGATGACAGAGGGGACCTCATGGGTGTGAATGAATATATGAACGGGGGGTGCCAACAAGATGAAGTCAGGCTGTTTGCAGTGAGGTTATGCAGTCTCTGTCACTGGAGGTATTCAAGAACTGTCTGGACACCATCCTGTGCCATGTGCTCTAGGATGACCCTGCTTGGGCAGGGAAGTTGGACCAGATGACCCACTGTGGTCCCTTCAAGCTGGTCCATTCTGTGATTCTGCTGTTTGGATAATCTCCATTGAGATTATATTGAGAAATATATTGCTGAAGTCAGCACTGCATGTTAACAGCAGGTTGCTACCCAGTAGGCTTTCTTCTGGTTTGTTGAAGAGGCTTGGATGTTTGCAGCTAGTGAGCTGCAAGACTGCAACAGAGAGTGCTTTCTTTGGTAGGACAGGTGGTGCTGACATGATGGATTGGGTCACTCAAAGGCCAGCTGAGTTGGGCTTTTTTTCCCCCTTGAAAAGAAAAATCAGAGGAGGGAGAAGAAGGTAGACGGGAAGATGTATCTATAAACAAATATAAAACCTTACTGTAAGGGGGTGAGAATAGCTTGACCGCCACAGTTCTTAAAAATAAGATGGAAAACACGGTAGTTAAATTTTGGTGTGGATCTAAGTGAGACAGTAGGAGGAACAAAGAAGATAGTAAGGTATTAAATCACCAAGATGTTCTGCTGAATTTTGTTAGCAAAACTTAGTAATTTTTTATTGTATTAAAAAAAATTTGAATAATAAATTCTGCCTTTGGTTCTTTTGCCCTATGTTGGTAATGCTTTTTCCATCTCCAAAGCTTATTTCTGATTCTCATTTGTGTTTTCAAATTGTTTTGTTAAAATGTTTCCTTTATCACCTGGTAGTTTCATTTAAGAGTCTTTGGTTAGGAATTTTGTGGACTAATTTGTTTGAATCATCATGGTTCATGTGCTCCCTAGTGTCTTCAGGGAGTTCCATTTGATCTGAGGGGTCATTGATTGCTGTGGGTGCTTTCAGATTGACAGACTTTATGTGTGTGGGAGCAGAGGTTTGTAGAAAGGGTCTGTTGCAAAGCAGAGATTAATAGGATACTCCTTTTTTTCCCCTAAGAACTACCTCCTGTTTGCATGCAAGTAATCTTAGGGAGTCTGAATAGGAAGTGGAAGGTGACAGATAAGCTGGGACTTCTCCAAGTGGTTATGTCTGCTTATCAGTACTATATGGGGGAGAAACAGTTTTTGTACTCTGAGAATACTCTCTGGTTGTTGGTGGAGATGAAACAGGGTAGACAATGTTTGTTTCTCGTGTTTGAGAAGGAGGGAGCAAAGGAAGTGATAATTGTCTCAGATACCAAAGTCTCATGTCATTAGAAGTTCCTACAAGTAGGAAATGGAATACATCAGGAAGGTGTGGGCTTTCATGTGTTAGCTTGTGGAATGTCTGGACACCATATGTACTCTTAAAAAGAGATAGGGAATAATATTAAGCAGGAGCTAAATTACACCAGTAAAATACACCCAGTGTAGCTCTTCTGGTTATTCCAATGTAAGCCAAAATTTTGAGGTCAATCACTTCAAGAGGAAGGAAATGCAGTAGAATAATTCAATTGAAAATTGTGATTCTACGTGAGAACCTGTTATTTGAGAACTTTCTGCATTAATGGTAATAAGTATTAGAGATTAATTCTCTCTAATATTTTCTAGGTTATAATAAGTATTACTGTTAATGTGTGTTTCTACTAGGCAATGAAAAGCACAGTATTCAAGTTGCTTCTCAGCGAGAAGATGGTGAACCTACACTACAAGACATGGCTGTACTTATTGAACAAGTCACTGGAGTTCCAGTTCCTTTTCAGAAACTGATATACAAAGGTAACTTATAAATCTGCCATGTTTCTTATAGAGGATGGGTTTTCATTGGGTGTCCATGTTTTCAATGTCTTCAAAAAGATATTCTTATGCCACTAGCTATACTTAAACTGTTTCTTTCCTCTCTTGTTGTTCGTTTAGGGAAGTCTCTGAAAGAACTGGAACAACCATTATCAGCACTTGGTGTTAAAAATGGTTGCAAAGTCATGTTGATTGGGAAAAGGGTAAGCATTGCTTTGGGATCTTTTTTCCCCCTTAAACTATCATCATTTTTGTTACTAAGTCAACTGTTGAACACAGAAACAAGCTGGAGCATTAACCTAATTTTGTACACCTATCCACAAAGTTGAGTTCAGTCTCATGTTACACTGCAAATAACTGAAGTTTATACTTTTCTGAAATTATTATTGACTAGCTTCTGCTTTACATTATTGACAGGACTCTGCCTAATCTGTGGTCAGTGCTCATGAACTTTCTGTGCACTGATGACCTTATCTGCTCGTCTTATTTTTTAATAAGTTTAAAAAAAACTTTCCCAACTGTAGCTACCGAGTCTTGATCATCTGGGTTATTTCTGGTGAAATGATTTGTGGCTGGCTTTGCACCTTGAGGATGAGATAATAATCTTATTATATAAATATTGCCTATACTTTAGAAATGGTAAGTTGATAAAAAGAAAAAAAAAATCACTTTCCCTTTTTCCTTCAAATTAATCTCATTAAATGTGTTTATATACATTGGTGATTTAAGTATATTTGTAATTAAGCTTTGGAAGAAGCTTATTTGGTAGTTATTGAAATATGTAAAGAATAGCCACAGTGTAGTGTGTATTCTAAACCCTCAGAAGCCTTTATGTCTGTATCAGCACTGCTGCTTTTTAGCTGCATTGTATCTTTATTTGTTCCTTAGTTGTGAATGTTGTACTTTTGAATACACAGAATAGTCCAGAAGAAGAGGCTGAATTAAAGAAGTTAAAAGATTTGGAGAAGTCAGTGGAGCAAATAGCTAATAAGTTAGAGGAAGTTAATAAAGAGTTCACAAGTATCCAGAAGGTATGCCAGTTTTGTATCACTTTATATCTTTGCAAAGCAGTTTTTTAGGTATTTCTATGTAAAAAATAAAACCCAAACAAAACAGTTTGGAGGTTTTGAGTAGTCAGTAAGAAATAGGCTGCCCCTCCTAAGTGTCCAAGAGTTAGTAATAACTCTTAGTGAATTCCAAATGCCATTTATGAGTTTGCAAAATAGAGACATGGCACTGTTTGGATAAAGGTAAATATTGTTTCCTGTGGGATAACTTACATTCTTTATATATGGAAAGAAATCTAGTTCTCTCAAAGTCAAAAGAAGGTCTATTACATGTTCATCATTTTAGTAAACCGAGCAGATCTTATATGTACCATGTCAAGAATTAATGAAATACAGAAGAATACAGATTAAGATTTGAGTCCCTATCATGCTTGAAAACAAAGAAATAGTAAAAGATGTTTTCTGCTGTTGTAGATTGACAGATTTTCTAAGGTGAGTATTGTGTAGGGTATAGGATAATTTTGTTTTTTCTTCTTCAGGGATTTTTAGCAAAGGATCTCCAAGCAGAAGCACTAAAACAGCTGGATAAGAGGATTAAAGGAACTGCAGAGCAGTTCATGAAGACCCTTGAACAGATTGATGCCATTGTAAGTAACTAACCACAGAAGAGGATCAAATCCCAACAGAAACTTGATATTTTAATGCACTAAGACATTTATTTTTGGCTATCCAAGTGCTTCACATTCATTAGTGGATCATAACATTGCGTTACATTTAGAGAGTATAATATACATCTTCCTGTATCATGTAGTAGCTCAGAGCTAGATGAGAATAAGGGTCTTGTGCAGAGATAAATAGAACATTGCTCCAGCCATGGTATTTCCTTACGCTGTTTCTCTGTCTGCTGGGCATTCTCTGTAAGCCTCATTATATAATTATGTTGCATATCAAGATCATAATAGCCTGCTCTGAGGGAAAAATGCTGCTTTTCTGTGGTAGTGGTGTCTTTGGGTCTCCTCCTCGGTACAGTGACCTTCTGTTGGATTTTTTTCAGAAATATGCCATGCAAATACCTATAACTGGTGAAACAAATATAGTTTAATTTGATGGACTCTTTGTAAAAGTTCAGCAGTGGACTAAATCAGAGTAATAATTTGAACTGGCCATCATCAAATGCTATGTAAAATGGATGTGTTCCTGGGAATGGTGGAGAGCTTAGTAACTAATTTCTTGCTTTTGTATTGTGAGCCTATGATGATAACCTAGTCTTTGCTGTTTTTTATACTCTATACTTTTTTTTTAAAAAATTGCTGTATTCTATGTATTTTGAAGTCTTCAAATTTCTGTTTTCTTTTGTTGCTCACATACAGGAGAATATTGTGCTGACAGTTTTTGAATGATGTTACACATAAAGACTTCATATAACTGATGTCCTGCTTGAAGTGGCAGATTTACTATGTGTTGTCATGAAAATATCAGTAAGGTGACAACAGCTGTCTCAATTGGATGGGGTTAAAGCTTATTTCTGACCCCTTCAAGTTTTGATACCAAATCCTATTTGGAAAAAGACTCAGTACTTTTATTCTGGTGTGCAGTTCTGGAACCCAGCAGGCAGCTTTGTAAAAATGTTTCACTGCTTTCTGAATAATCCAAACTCAATTTCCCAAGTTTACTTTTAATTCTGTTACTTTTTGTGTGGTTTAAACAGAAACCATGCTGTGCTGTATCTCTTTATCCAAAATACTCTAAATAGTACTGGACAAGGGATTTTATGTCTAGTACAATGTTGTAGAAGACTTATAATCAGTGACTTGGTGTTTAGATTTGGGAAGTAATGGAGTCCCTGTACTTTGTTTCTTGAGAAAGTAGAGTAGCCAGAGCTAAGACTAATTGCAGTTAATGTCTTCCAAAATCTGTAGTAATTGAATAAGAGCCTATGCCATTGAAAAGTTGTTAGGTTTTTTTTTTTTTTTTTTTTTTTTTTTTTTTTTTTAATAAGTGAGGGTTTGGATTGCCACTGATTTCAGTTGCATTGCACATATTTTTTTCTTTTAATATACAAAGCTGGTTGTGAGATTTGTCATGAACACTGGACAAATGTGCAATCTTGTAGATGAAATACATGTAGCTGGGTGGAATCTTTACATAAAATGAGGGAGTTCAGAGTGCTGGTATCACACCAGGTCAGATGAACAGGCCACCAGCTTACTGAGGCAGCACTCAGCTGTACTGTGGTTATGCACTGTGTGGAGGCATCAGTACAGACTGGTAGTCAGGGATGTGTGTGAGCAATAAGTGAGTTCCACTGGAGTAAAAAATAGCAAACAGAAATGCAAGGCAGTAAAGTATTTTATTTTATTGTAGAAATGGTTTATATAAGTAATTCGTGTTCTTTTCAGCAGCCAAGTAAAAAGCTAGTTATGACACATCTGTTAAGTGCTATTGGACATGTAGAGGTGCTGTTGATTGAGTCAACAGCATGTTAAAAAATTCAGCGGGGAAAAATGTGACTGAGAAGAATGGAGGATGGATTGTAGAAAGCAAACATATCAGCAAGCTGACACAATAATATCCCAGCTTTTTTCTTTGCCAGAATTGTCACAACTCATTAAGGTATCTCAGCTGCTGTGTTATTTGGATCACTCAAAACTGATGGAAAATGAGATTTGGTTGGTTACAGAGAGAAAGAAAACAATATGCAGGCTTCCTCAACCTTCTATTTTAGGAGTATCACTTCTTACTAGTAGCAGACAAGCTCATTAATTAGAGGAGCAGAGTTTGGGAACTAAATACTTTTAATAGACACCATGCATTCAACAATTGTAAATTTAAAAGATGGGATTTGGAAGGTTGAGAAGTTTATAGTCATACAGTAGTGGGGTGTGAGAGAAAAATACAGTGTTGTTACTGCCAGAGGTGTGAAAGGGATGCTTTGGGTAGAGCATCTGTAACTTAAGCATTGTAACGTAAATGTGTTTAAACAGCTACTGCTTTCACTGCATCTTAAAAAATTTAGATTTGTCTGACACAGTCAGGCATTGCCATAAGCCACGGATCTTAGAAGTTTTCTTCAGAAGGATGCAGTTGAGTCTTGTTCAATACTTGAAGATTGGTGTTTGTGTATTCACAGATGTGCTATTTATTTCATCACTTAAAACAATTGGTCTAGGAACAGAAGTCAAAACACACTATTTATTACAAATCTCAGTGAGAAAAATACAGGAAATGCTTTACTTGGTCATCTGGATCAGTTTTTTAAATATCTGAAAGGTTTTTTGAAAAAAAAAATTTTTCTGAGATCAGTAGGAAGATTTGAATCCACAGTCATGACAGCAACGCACCAGTGAACCAGCCCTGATTTAATGAATGTTTTCACCAATATTGCAGTGTGAGCACTCACTTTGTGCTCAAGATGGTCTCCTGTTAAATGGCAGATTTTTTACTCTAGAAGACAATATTGCAGAGAACACATTGTTCTAAGAATTGAAAAAAGCTTTCTCTTACGAGCTACCAGTCACTTGATTTTGTTAACATAAATTCACAAGAAATCTGTCAAATTGCCTCTATCAGTATTGAGGACATTGATAGTGCTACTGACTCATAGTTATGCTCTGGTGGCCCATTCTCCTTTCCTGAAGATTTTTTAAAATTACAGTTCCTCTGTAGAACTTAAATTAACAAGCTGTTCTGATGAAATTTAACTCTTTCATTGTCTCTACTGTACTTGTCATTGAATAAATCCATACAAAATTAACATTTCAAGGATTAAAAGAAAGAAGTATTCTGAAAAAAATGCATCACTATTCCTGTAGTAAACATTTCCTAGATGTCTGGGAAGTTTTTTCACTTACAATAAGATGAGATCCTATTACTAAACTTTTTGATTTTTTTTTGAATCAATAAAAACGTGATAAGCATTTCTTACTGTAATTCGTTAATCTCTTAGCATGAGCTGTAAGCATGAAATCAGATCTTCAGAGAAAGGTATTTCTAAAGCTCAAGGAGCATTGTCACGTGAAAGGGGAGGTTTTTCCCAGCCCTTTCTGTTTGATTTGTGTGTCAGTGCCCCAGGTTAACTGAGACCCTTGTGCCCCACCAGTCTGTCAGTGTCCTGTTACCCTTCCCTGAGCAGCCCACTTGATGTGAGGGGGGTTCAGCTGACTTGCTTGGGGTCCCTTCCTGGACCTCCACACCTTTAATTGGTCTGCTGGTACCCCAGGCAAGATTCAGGGACAAATTCAGGACACAACAGCATAAGAAGGACCCCCTCCTGGGTATCCACAGTCAAATACATTACCTGCTGCCAGTGACTGTAAGTGCCCTTGAAGTACTCACTTTACCAGTTTTTGCAATAGCCATCCTTTATTAATACAACAGAAAACACTGACAGGATTGCTGGTGGTAGTATCTGGCTGCAAAAACTTAAAGCCATATACTAACCAGCTCTAATTCCCAACAATGGAGTCTTCCCTATTTTTATATCACTTTTAACTTACTCTTATACTATTTTTACGTTTAGGTGGAGCTAGAGTGACTCTACTCATGCATTATGTTCAGTGGGGGGTGGCTCTACTTTGGAGGTGGGTAATGTCAGTATTACATCTGAGGTGACCTTTGAGGCTGGAACTATACGTTAATATTGTATTCAAGGTAAACTTTGGAATGGAGGTGGACATCTGTGCTTTTGCCACAGTTCCTGGTTCAACAGCAGGAAATAATTTTCCTTCCTTGGCTGACAGCTTTTACATGGCTTATCAGCTACAAGACCCTGGCCATGGTGTCTCCTCTCTTTAGGCCCCCTTAGTGTTTATTTGTGGGAAGTTGGGATTGCTGACCACATTCCTTCAAGGGAGCAGCAACCACATTTTCTCCCTATAATTCTCCATATTGTTGTATCTGGGTTGGTAACTTTCCACCTTTCTCCATCCTCCATGTCATCCCCCCTTAGTCTGTATGCTCACTACAGTTTTTTGTAACTTTCCTACCAAGTATCAGTAACGGAAACTAGGTTGTAGCTTTCTACTCCAACCATCATGCTGTAAGGGCTCAAGAGGGAAACATGAGTGAAATACCTCTGAGGACATAAGGAGTGTTCCTGCAGGGAGGTGACACGGCCCACAGCTCAGCTGAAGTGCCTCACACCAGTGCCCACAGCATGGGCAAGAAACAGGAAGAGTAGAATCCATTTGTCTGAACAGTAAAAGAAAAGAACGCCTTTTTTTTTTTTTTTTGTTTTTTTTTTTTTTTTTTTTTTTTTTTTTTTTTTTTTTTTTCCCCCCCCCCCCGTCGGTTTTTTTTTTTAATTTTTTTTTTGTTTTAATGTTTGAGGTTTGGCTCCTCTCCGCGGCTCGTCTCACTAAATAGATCTCTGNTTTTTTTTTTTTTTTTTTTTTTGGTTGTATTTTGATTTTTACAAAAGTTTATGTATCTAAACCTCCCAGCTGTGCTCACATTTTGGCTGAAATGAAACAGATTAGGTTAGGTAAACCTGTGTTCTTGGGCTGGAGTTAGGGTGGAAAATAAAAGGTAAACTATTGAGAAACTCCCAAGATTTTTATGCATTTCCACTAGTGAGAACACAGTGTTCTTAAGAATGTTCACATAAACTATATAAAGTGATAATCATCTGTAGAGGTGTTTTATCTGTTAAGAAAAAAATCATAAACCTGAGCACCATTCCTCAGCAGCACCCCAATTTCACATAGCTCAAAAAGGACAACGCATGTAACGCTTGCCAGGATGACCTACACGAATGTAATGGGTGGTAGGAGTACAGAAAATGATACAATTTGAATTAAATTGAAGGCTGACATTGTGTAACACTTCATATCTGTTGCCTTCCATGAGTACATTGAGAGATGATCAGATGTACCGCTTAGACTGGCAATGGCTGCATTACTAATGATACATTCCAGTGATGGCAAGTGATTGAATGTATTTGTAAGAAATTTGTTCATGTTATAATCTCTGAAAAAGCTCTGAAGAACAGTTAACATATACCACACAGCAGAAAAAGCAGTGTGTGTAGTTTGTTGCTGTATATTCCCTAAAGACACATGGTAGATTTGCTAGCTCTGATCTTTGCAGTCAGCCAGCTGCATCCCTAGCTTTTTAATAACTTTTTCTTATATATTCTTTCCTGTGTAGTCATCCTTACTGAGCAGGCATGGTATTTTCAGGATGCCTGTTGAGAGGATTCTTTGATAATTCCAGTTTTTTGCAGTAAGTCTGATACGTTCATTTCAACATTAACCTGCATCAACTTGTTTGCTTATTTTACTGCAGAATCTGCCAGAGAATTTCAGTGACTGCAAACTGAAAAAGAAAGGGTTAGTGAAGAGGGTCCAGGTGAGTTTTCTTGGTTTGTATTTGGTGTGTTTTCTTCCCTTTTTTTTTTTTTTTTTCCATAAATGCTGGGCACTTGTATACCAAGAGTTTGTGAAAATGAGCTGTTTAGATGTTTTTCAGTGTTTCTTCATCGGTGTCTTGTATGACCTCCCTTTGAGAGGTATTTAATAGCTTTATAGAATAGCACACAAAATACAGTTTTTCATAGGTCATGCTGTTTTCAGATAATGCTTGTCATTTACATTAATAGTTTGTCTTACGCCTGCCTGATGATGTGAAGTAATCCTGATAACTTGTAAAAACAACAGGATTGATCATTCCTCTTTTTTTGAATCTTGACGGATTGGAGTAATGACTGAGGTCTGGGCACAAGGATGCAGTTAACTCTAACTCCTGCTGACCTACTCCTGACCTTGCCAGAGGTGTTCTTTGGAAAATGTAGCTTATACTGCAATGCACCAACTTTCTTTGGAGAGTAGGTCTTTAAAATCTATACAGCAGAGTATCTATCCTGGGGATGGGGGGTTTAATTGCTTTGCTATGGTATGATGTTTGTGAATTCCTAGGCATTGTCTTCTTAGGACTTTGAACTGAAGGTTTGTTAATAAATACTGGAATTCAGCTCCCTCCATTCAAACTTACATAAATGAATGGTAATGCTACTTTTATTACTGTTTTTATTTATATTGTGCTAACTTTAGTGCCAGATTGGGCTCCAAAAATTGTTCTTGGAAGTACCTTGCATTCATATATAGAGTTGAATGATTTTTTTATTTTACTGTAACCTTACTAAATACCTTTCATTGATGTTTCATAAGTTTTTTATTATAGCCATCTATTGTAGAGGAAGGCCCACCAAGAAGTACTTCATAAGAGAAATGGTTTTAGTTACAGCTTTAGGGACAAAGCACTTTGTACTCAGTTATTGAGATAAGTTCAGGTAATGGAAAGGAAGGTGGTTGCTGGTGTGGCTGTGTTATGTGGGGGTTCTGAACACAGTCTTGATTCCCTGTGCCCCTAACCAAGGCAGCAGAACTTGTAATAGAGTGGTGGCTATCAAACTGTGTGGGAGCTACTGGATCTCCACTCTTGGGTAAAATTATAGCAGAAGTAAGTGGGACTTTGTTTAATAACTGCTGTTTAAGCATATGGATTCTGTTGAGCAGAGATCAGAATTATTTATGTGCTTTTATAGGCACAGCATAATGCAGCTGTGGGTTATGAACCCTTTGAGGACTCCAGAAGAATTCTAAGGGGTTTCAGACCAGAGCTGTCAACAACAGTTTGTTTTACCAGAGCAAGAACAAGAAAACAGTGGCAAGTTATGCTTATTATTCTTAAGTATCCATAAAAAGCAAGGGGAAGCTATTAACTGCCTTCTACTGCTGGCAGTCACACATCATCTAGGTTGGGAAGATAAATATGAAAGAGTAGTAGCCAGCAACTGCACCTTCACTTTTTCATCACTCAAGTTCTTACAGATGTGAATTGATGACAGCTCAAGGGATTGGTTGGAAATAGATGATTCAAAGCGGTGTGATGGTTGAGGAAGATTCACATGGCACAATAGTTTGTTGCTCTAGAAGGAAAGTGCTTTCTTTCTGTAATCTTAATGTAAGTAACATGAAATGTCTGGTTTGACTGAATCTTTCTCAGGAAGTGCAGTTTACTTGCATACCTTGGGGCTGGCCTAAAACAATTTATTGGCCTAAAGTGCTGGTGTGTTGTGTTGTGTACAGGCTGAGCAAAGTGACCAGGGGCTGCTGTCTGCCAGTTGCTCTCTGTGTGTTACTCTACTTGTGAGAATTTGTGGGCAGGTTCTAAGAAAGCATAAGGTGCTGTGGACTGCCCTTTTTGGAATGGAGCCTTCTGTCTTTTGAGTAACACCAGCTACTGATGAAGAGGAAGGTTCAGTGGTGCCTTGTAGTCTTAAGAAGTAGAAAAGGTCTTGGTTTAATGAAAGCTTGTTTTAAATTTGACTGAGCAGGTTTGTCCCTCCCAGCCTTGGCCTCTGAATTTTGTGTTTTAGAAAAGAGCTTAGAAGTCATGTTCCAAACTGAAAAAAGCACTAACTTGTCTGAACCTTTGTGTTTCCTATTGTTGCTTATGAACACTGGATCAACTGAAAATATGTCAGCATCAGGACATGCTATTGTCCTTATTAGCCTTATCCATGTTGGATTCTAGGCAAATGCAGGTGTGCATAAGCTATTACCAAAACAACTGGAAAGTGGTTGTTGAGCTGACATCTTCAAATTCACAATAGAAACTGCACTTTCAGTTCTTCAGGAACACTTCTTGGTGCCAAACTGTGTATCCAGTAACATTTGTTTGTTTTTTATTCTCAGGTTTTTCTTGCCCAGTGTGATACCATTGAAGGGAACATTGGTCAAGAAATGGACAAGCTACAGTCAAAGAATTTGGCACTGGCAGAATGAGGCATCGCCTTACATAATTAGGAAACATAATTGCTCTGTGAGCAAGAAGAAAAGTTTGCTCTTTGTTTTGGAGCACATATCCAGCTTCCTGGTTTTTTTGTTTTTGTTTTTTTTTTTCCTCAAAGCCCAGTCTGTTAGACTGGCACCAGTCAATCATTTCTTGCTGGTTGTCTTGTTTGCCGCTTGGTTAGAACTATTATTTTGAAAAGAAATCCTTCCTGAAGAATGGCTGAGCTAATCTTTGTGATTAATTGTGTATCTTATGGACAATAAGATAGTTTAGTTAACTAAGTTACGAAGTTTTCAGTGGTGGGCAATTTTGTCTGATATATCTTTGAATTTATTTACAGCTCAAATCAAAGAAGGTCTGTAATCGTACAAGTGCCATAAGTTGCAATTGTAGGACTTCAGCTAGATTGAAAAAGGCAAATTGAGACATCTGGGAAAGCTGAACATTCTAGTAGACAGTTCAGAGCAATAAAAAACCCCTACACATTTGTATCTACTTAATGTTTGTACGCATTTATAAATATAAGAAAGCTTGATTATAAGGGAGTCATACCTATTTTAGCCTTAAATTGTCATAATAAATGGAATGTACTGTAACATGTATGGTACTTAATTTTGAGTGGTGCTTTAAGTTGTTACTGAGCTCCTTGATACAGACATATGTTTTTTACACAGATTTCTGATGTACTGTGGTTTTTATAGATTATTTGTATTTTTATTATTTGTGTTCTGTCTTGAGTTATGTTGAGAAATGAAATGAGATTACTCATGCTGCTCAAATACCAAGGGTGCAGTTCAAGCAAGGTATAACCGAGGAGCTATTTTGAAAGGGTTTTTTATACTTTTTTGTGAACTTACTGAATTCACGATTTAATGGGAAAATGCAGTGATTATTCCAGTATGTTAAGGCAATCAGTGAATTTTTATAACACGTTGCAAAGAGACACAGGTTTATTTTAGCAGTGCCATCTGTATTAGGGTTATGGCTGAGTCTTGCAGTCACATATGTACCGTGCTTAACCTTCTCTGTTAGGTGAGAAGTCAGCTTTTGCAGGAGACAGAAAATTTGAGTGGGTGCAGCCAACTTTGCAGTGGTTGCTCAGAGGTTCTGAGCAGACTGTGGAGCATGTTAGCCTGTAGGTAACACAAATGTACAGCAGCTGCTTTTTCACTGATGCTCCTCATTGGGAGGTCAGCCAGATACACAGGGATTAATAAGGAGCCTCTTTCTGTGCAGGAAATAAACTCTTCATCCCAAATGAGTCAGACTGAGAATGTTTAGAAATGGCCCTTAGGTAGTGAGGCATTATCCGTTTGTTTTAAGGTTAGCTGTCCTTTCAGGATAAAAATAGGAAATGTATGTAAAAAGATCTTAACTTCTGATAAGTTATAAAGCTTAAATAGTACCTAAGCATTATTATTACAGTATTGTCTTTGATGTTCGTAATTTGAGGAACATTTTTTTTTTTTAGTGAAAAATGCCATTGAACAAATGAAGTGAGAGCTGTGCATTTCAAAGGGTCACTTGTATTCTAAAAATGCTGGTTGACCATACAAAGATTTAAGTTGCCATGTTTTTTGCTGTTAACCAGTTACTCCAAGCTTATATTTTTTCCTTATGAAATTCTCTTATCAGCATCTGTGGAGGATTTCATAGGCTAAACTCCTAGGAACCTTATCCATCATGTTAGGATTTGGTATGGTAGGACTGTGGAAGTTTTTTCCTAGGCTGACTAGTCTGTCATGCTGCATTTCCCTAGCACTTTAAGGTTAAGAGGAGAAAGCATTGGTTGTAGTCATTTTTGTGAAGCCCTGCCTATCCTGTGGCTGCTTCTGGACCAGTTCAGCTGACTCTTAAACCACCAGCAACACTTGCCTAATTCAGGGAATGCAAAATCAACCACTTCCCTATGATGGAAAGGATCCTCACCCTCCCAAATGTGGGTTCTCTAATGTGTTGAGCTTTCAAAGGTGCATGTACAATAAGCAAGAATCCTGTTGTGCCCATGGAGAGAAGTGAGTGCTGTGGTCATGGCTAGGACTGTGTCCATTTCTGCTGTTCCTGCGTAGTTTTCTCTCTTGGGTGAGAACATTTACAGGCAGACATCGTCTTCCCTGCAGCCTTTCCCAGAAATTACCGCTTCCTTAGATGTGCTTGTGTGAGTACATCCTCAGCCTGTCTCAGAGCAAGGTAGATTAACTTCAGGATGTTCCATAGCAGGTCTGTTGATGGTCTGGTACTTTGAGGCAAAGAGAGTGATGGTGAACCTCTCCCACCAGCACATCTGTATTCAACAGAGGGTGGATGTCCTGAGCCAAATTTACCTTGCAGTGCTAAGTGGTTTGGTCTCTAGGACAAAATTATGTATATGAAGACCAACTTCTGCAGTATAAATTGTTTTGTCTTCCATATATAAAAATGAGCTGATTTGCTTTGGAAAACAGATGGTTGTATTTAAAGTTATCCAGGACATTCTAGAGTGAATTGACTTTTATACTTAGTTTTGGATAGGGGAGTTACAAACATTTTTTGTCAGAATAGCCTTAAATTCAGTGAAAGCCAGCGTCTGTGCTTTTCAAAAGTGCAGCAGACTGCAATTGTGGAAGGGAGGAATGGGGAAGGAAGATGTGATTTTAAATATTCTTCAGAGTTTGTAAACATAAATAAGCTTAAGCTATAGTCTCAGTGATTCTGTAGTTCAGGTGTACTGTGATACCTGTTTCGCTACAGAATTGTTTCCTCAGCCCAACAATCTGCCACGATCATGTCAAAACAGAAGTTACTCCCTTTTGCGTCAGTTGCACTTATCCCATTGTCTTCCTCCATTTGCTGTGTTGCTCTGGCTGTGTTTACAGACCTTGGATTTGCCATCCTGGCAAAATGTACCACAGGATTTGTCTTTTTTGAAAATGGAAATTGAATTGCACATGCCCTTGGCCCATTTTCTCTCCCAGATCCCATGGGCTGGTGTGAGAAGAACCAAACCCGACTCAGGGAAATGTGGAGTCTGGAGCCATGGGATGGGTTGCTCTCTGGAAACAGCACAAGATTATACTGGCATCCTCCATGACCAAGTCCTCTGGAAGATAATGTCGCTGTAAGCCTGGAGCAACACTTTTTTACTTCTAATGGACACTCATGGTTTGGAGTGGAGCACTTGACACCATGGAAGTTGGCACTAGATGTTTTTTTCTTTTTTTTTTTGGTTAACTCATGTTATTGTACTGTGATAAATGAAAATATAAAAGTAAAACATGGAAAGTTCTCTGCTGTCCTTGGTCATGTTGTAGTCACTAGATTCTGTATTTGGGCTGTATTTTAGCAGAGAAGGCACACACTGCTCTGGCTGGTGCTGCCATGTGCGCAGTGCAGGACAGCGAGCGGGGCCTCCCGGACGGCGCCGTGATTCGGGACCTCCAGTGTTCCCAGCATTGGCAACCACATGGAACTTTAAAAAAGCTCGTTTTTTTTCTTTCCCCCAAAACAAAAGAGCATGAAGTACTTCGCACGGTTTTGTTGCACACCGTGCGCTGGAGCAGGTTGTGCAGGGAGGGTGTGGAGTCTTCCTCAGTGAAGACATTAAAGAACCATCTGGACACAGTCCTGTGCCAGGCAGGTCGGACCAGATGACCCACTGTGATGCCTTCCAACCTGACCCACCCTGTGATTCCGTGTTTTCTGGATCTGGACCTACGGGACGTAATGTTTATTATAATTTTTTACTTATTTGGGTGGTTTGGCATGAGGGGTGGAGAACGTTTCACGCAGTTTATTCAGAGCCGTGTCCCACAGCTGGACTGCTGTGTCCGTCGAGCTCTGTTGGTGCTCCAAAGGCTTAGCTGAGGAACATCCCGAGGAAGGCGACGAAGAAGACGGATCCACTATTCTCCTTCCTCCTCCTCCTCCTCCTCCCCGCCCGCTCCCTT